TGCTACAGAGGTATCTATGTGAGATGATACAATACAGAGATACAGTGTGCAGACTGATGTCGAAGTATCTTCACTTGCATATTGTTCTCGTTATATGTCACCCTTAGGTTCGACAATCAGAGCAATGAAACCTAACGATTTAGCAGAAGCTAGGCAATACATAATTTCTGAAAGTAATATTCGTCAAACCGAGACAAAATCCGAAATACAATCATGGACATCGGAATCAATTCCAGAATCATCATCAGTTCAATAATTATTCGCAAAATAACTTCCAAAATCCACCTCAAAATATTCCACGACCAACCTTCCAAAATTCTAACTTTCCACGCGGTCCTGTACAAATTCAAACAAGGCCTGCCCCTCCACAACGTTATTTTACAAACAGTCAAGTTTTTGGAAACCAAAGACCTTTCCGAAATCAAAGTAATGTTTGAAGATCAAACCCACAAAATCAAACCAGACCTAGACCTACCCCAATGAGCGGAATTTCTCATGGAACTGTACCTCGACAAAGAAATGACGATATACCAAACACATTTCATCAACAACCCCGAATGAACTCTACCCCTGAAGGAGTATATAACGTAGACTCACAAATCGACGAAGAATATTTTGACAGCCAATATCAAAATCATTATTACGATGATCAATATTTTGACTATCAAAAAGAACCGAGCACCTCTCAAAATCAAATTTGTTACCAAAATCCTAATCATGATGAATATTAATCAGGACCAATCGATGAACCTGATCAAAATTTCCAACAAATAGACTCTTCAGAAACCACCACACAGAAATTCATTCAATCTATGACCGAAAAGACCTCCCATATATCGAAATTTCGAATCCCCCACTGAAATTATTAATTGACACAGGAGCTACCAAATCATTTTTGAACCCCGAAATTGCAGAAAACTATTAAAATGACTTCATAAAAAAGGAACCTTTTACAATATCATCAATATTTCAAACAACTTGCAGAGATCAGTGTGCCGAAATTCCAGCCTTCAGCGAATTCAATTTTGATAAGAAAATTGAATTTTACTTGTTCAAACTTCATCATTTTTTCGATGGTTTAATTGGTTACGGAACTCTAAAAGATCTCAATATTCAAATTGATATTCAAAATTCGATTATTAAAACACCCACTGCCCAAATTTCGATAGCTCACTATGAAACAAAAGGCAAACTTTTAGATAGATAGATAGATAGATTACACTTTGTGGGCGGACGGATCCTTCAGCATGTAGGCCTCCTAGTTCGGGCCCGTTATGCACCCACATCTGCTGGGAATTGGTTCAGTCATGAAGGTAGCCAATTTCGCGGGCGAAAGAGACCAGCCTTCTCAACGAAACCCTTCTCACACTCTCTGGTTCCAAAACGATGTTCCCGAGATGTGCTTCCCGTATTGCTGCAACTGCTGGGCATTCCGTGAGGATGTGAGTAGCTGACTCCTCGTCCTCCAGGCACCACCTACATTCAGCATCATCAGTGAATGTTGAGGTGCCTGTTTAGATGGCAGTGACCCGTGAGGAGCCCTATCACTATTCTTATTTCTTTTCTGCTCAATGTGAGCAACGTTTTGGTTCTTCTGATAGAGGGGCCTCCGATATGGAGTTTCGATTGTCTCATGCCTGGAGTCTCTCTCCATACCTCCTGGAATTTCGTTTCCAAGCTTTTCATCATGGTTGAGACGCTCCAGGATCTGGAAACTCCTAAGATTGGTTCTGGTCCAATAGCTGAGCTATTTGCTCCTTGTCTAGCCAGGGAGTCGGCCCTTTCATTACCGGGAATTCCCTTGTGTCCTGGGACCCAAAGAAGTTTCACCTTATTGGCTGCGGATAGCCTTTGAAGCTCATCAATACACTCCGACACCAACAGCGAACTGACCCTGTATGATGTGAGGGCCTTGATCGCCGCCTGGCTGTCGGAGCATATCGTGATCAGCTGGCCATGGTAGCCTTTGTTGATATTTTCTCTAACACAGGCGAGAATGGCAAAAACCTCTGCCTGAAACACTGTAGCAAAGTTCCCCAGGGCGTAACTGAGTTCCGCTTTCGGAGATTGCCCATATACCCCAGCTCCTGCCGATCCCTCCATCCTGGAGCCATCTGTGTACCAAATGATTCCAGTGGTAGGGATCAGGCGGTGCCCGAACTGCTCCCAGTCCTCCCTTCTCGGGATAATTGACTGAGGCCTTTTGCTGAATCTAATGACAGGAGTGAAACTGTCCCCTGGCATCTCTAGACGGGGGCATTCCTTCACCGTCCGATTCCATAGCCTAGAGTGTCCATACGTTCCCTCGCTCCTCCATTGGTTGGAGCTCCGCAGACGGGCGATGGCTTTGCATGCCTCGTGTTCAATGAAGAGGTACAGGGGTGGCAGACCTATAAGTGTCTCCAGTGCCCTTGTGGGTGCCGTCTTCATTGCACTCGTTATGGCAAGGCAGGCAAGTCGTTGCACTCTGTCTAGTTGAGTTTTTGATTTGCCGGATGCTGTACCTTGCCACCATACGATGGCTCCGTACGTAATCATTGGACGTATGAGAGTCGTGTAGATCCAGTAGATAATCTTGGGACTGAGCCCCCACGTGCTTCCAAACGCTCTTCTGCATGCCCAGAACGCGGTCATGCTTTTCTGAACTTTATGTTCGATATGTTCGTTCCAGTTCAGCTTGAAGTCTAAAATGACCCCAAGGTACTTGACTGAACCTTTGTATTGCAGAGACCTGCCAGAAAGTTGGACGTTTGGGAAGTTCCCTTTTATGCGTCTCCTAGTAAAGAGAACTAGTTCCGCTTTTTCAGGGTTCACGCTCAGCCCGACTGAACGGCACCATACATCCACCCCGTCAAGTGCCCTTTGTATCGTACCTCTCACGAGGCCCGACCCCTGGTCATCTACCAGGATGACTATATCGTCCGCGTAGGCCTGAGTGTAGTACCCCAAATCTTTTATTTTTGATAGGAGACCATCCACTACTAGGCACCATAACAGAGGCGACAGAACTTCCCCCTGTGGGCAGCCCTTCTTTGGCGTGACCTCGCTAGTGCTACTTTTGAGAGTTGCTTTAGCTAATCTCTGGGAAAGCATGGCGTGGATCCACCCTATTATGGATGGAGACACGCCCCTTTTCCTTATTGCCTGACATATGCAGTCAAATGACGTGTTGTCGAATGCTCCTTCTATGTCGATGAATATGCCTAGAGTGGCACTGCCACGGTCCAACCCGCCCTCGAGTCTGTGGACGAGACGGTGGAGAGCTGTCTCCGTGCTTCTACCAGTTTGGTAGGCGTGCTGAAGGTTGCTGAGTGGATATAAGGTCAGTATATCCTCTCTGATGTATCTGTCCACCAGTCTTTCTGTGGTCTTGAGAAGAAAAGACATAAGACTGATGGCCCTAAAAGATTTTGCCTGGGTGTAATCACTTTTTCCAGGCTTGGGAATGAAGATAACCTTGGCCGTCCTCCATGCTTTGGGAACGTATCCGTAGGCGAGGCAGCTTCGAAAAATCTTCAGTAAATGGGGGATCAGGATATCTTCGCCCTTTTGTAGCAGGGCTGGAAATATCCCGTCTTCTCCCGGAGATTTGAAAGGTGAAAAGGACTCAATGGCCCATTTCACTTTATCGTAAGTAACAATGCCAGCAGCCACTTTGTAGTCGACCTTTCTCGTGAGAGAGAGGGGGAGAGGTGGAGTTGGCTGTGGTCCGGGTGTCGCAGTGTCGCTACCCGGAAAGTGGACTGAGAGCATGTATTGGAGTGTTTGCTTCGTCCGAGGCAGTAAATCCGCCTCCGGGCAGTGTCAGCACCTCCAATCTTGCTCCCGGATCTTTGGATAGGGCCTTGTTGAGTCTTGCTGCCTCTGGTAAGGTGTTTACACCTTGGCAGTAGTTCCTCCAAGTGTCCCTCCGTGCGTCTCGGATACACTTTTTGTATTCCCTTTGTGCTGACTTATAGTCCTCCCAGTGTGTTGGTTGTTTGGTCCGTGTGGCCCTATTCAAACGTTTGCGAACTTCCTTGCGGTGAGCCTCTATTTGTGAGTTCCACCATGGGGTTTTGCCTGCCTTGTCAACCTTTTTTAAGGGACAGCTGGCTTCATATGATGTAAGGATGGCAGAATTGAGACAGTCGGCAAACGTCTCAATTTCCCCCTCAGATCCGTAACGTGTAGGCATAATTCCAAGCCTCTCCTTCAGTTCCTCCACGTAGAGGTTCCATCGGGTAGCTCTGAGATTCCTATACCTACAGCTTTCTGCATGGCTGTTGCCTGCTATTTTAAATAGTATGTGTCGGTGGTCCGCTAGGGTTACCTCCGTTGACACATGCCAGCCGCTGACGCTCCCTGTTAGTTCTGATGAACATAGTGTGAGATCGATAATTGTTTGTGCCAGAGGCGTGAAGTAGGTGGGCACTGATCCTCTGTTGAGGATTTCCAGTTTACTGGAACTCAGGAATTCGAGAAGCGCCCTACCCCTTGGGTTCACGTCGCGGTTTCCCCACAGTGTGTGATGGAAGTTGACGTCGCAACCCAACAGGAGGGGCAATCCTTGCTCCTCGCAATGCTCTATCAGTGTTATAACCTTTTGTGGAGGATTCTCCTCTTCATATGGGAAGTAAGCGGAGCCTACAATGACTTCGCGTGTATTACCCCCTGTTTCGTCGACCAGCTTCACCTTCACCGCTACCAGGTCTCTGTGACGGAAGCCCGGCAGCGGAGTGCCGTCGACACCTTTTGTATGAATACATGCTCTGGGTCTTGCTTCAGAGGGACAATAGTAGAGTGAACCTCCAGCTTGACCCATACCTCTTATCTTACCCCCGTAGGCCCACGGCTCTTGGATAAGACATATATTTATATCGAGCTCCCTGAGCCTTCTGCATAGAAGGGCTGTAGAGGCCCTCCCGTGCTGTGTATTGGCTTGCAGAAGTCTCAGGGGCTCAGAGGAGCATGAAGAAGAGACTGCCATTTGGTAGCCTAGTCTTCTTGTCCAGGGCTACCAGGACTCGCGTCCTGGGCGCCCCCTTCCTGACCGGACTCTGCCAGAGGACTGTTGACGTTGTCCTCTGTCAAAGTCTCGTCGTCGAGTTCGGTGAGGGTTTCCTCATCTGCATGAGACGGCTCCGCAGGGGGTTGTCTGTCGTCGTCTGCGGGTGTCTCTTCGTCGACGGAGACTGTCTCTATCGGCTGGTCTTTGGGACCCTCAGCTGGGAGGTCTGTCGCAGAAGACAAAGGGGCGTCCCAGCTGACCAGTGCCTTGGTGGCACCGAAAAACAAGGCTCCGTTGGCCCGCCTGTCAGTGGCGACCGACTCAGGGTCCATCCCCACCACCAGGCTGAGCCCACGTTTCTCCTCTCTTCTGCTCCAGGCCCTCCACTGATGGGTTGAGAGACCTGGATTCTGCCTTTCCAAGGCATTGAAGATGTCCTGGTTCGGCGGTCTTATCGGGATCCGGATGACCGTTCTTTGCAGTCTGAATCTATCCGGATCGACCGCTATGAGGTTAATGCCTTCCCAGAGTCGGATATTTGGCAGTTCCCTGAGAAGCCATTCCCTCGTCTCCGCATTCTCTGCGGTGACTAAAAGTTGCCCCCTCCACAGTCGCGTTGATGCGAATTGTATTGGGGGCAAGTTTGCGCTCATCGGCGTGCTGATGATGAATGTCAGCACAGCGTCTAGGAACTCTGCCAGTTGGCCCTCCGTGAAGGTCACGTTGGTTTGGCCTTCCCTGGAGACAACCACCTGCAGAGCTCGGTTTTCAGATGTTATCCGCGCGTAGCTCTTCGGACCAGTCGTGCCCTGCCCCATTTGTGTGAAGCCCGGACGTGGTCGCTTAGTCACGCGCGTGACGTCATTGAGTGTAGATCCTGGAGTCCTGGTCCTCTTGGTAGACTCATGAGTCTTTCCTCTCAGGGCCAGGTCACCAGGATCTTCCGACTTGGCAGCGGGGCACGGGGGAGGAGCTTCGACGTTCCCCTTGGAGGAGCCCTGTACTCCACTCCTGTCCGTTGACCCATTGCCTGATCCACCGACCCTCTTTGTGGAGCCAGTCGAGGTGGATGGTTGGACGGGCGCTGCTGGCGCCGCAGCCCGTCTCGCCATTCTCCTCTTCCTTTTGTCCGACCCACGGACGTTAGTTTTAACCTTCACCTTTTCAAGGGTTCGGGCAAGATCTGACACATTTAGTGAACGCGAGCGCCCCACTGATGTGCCTGTACTAAGTGTAGGCGCAAAGCCGGGTTTGGATTGTTTCGAATTGCCCGAAGTGGAGCCCGTCGGAACAGGAGTTGCGGACCCCTCAGAGGAGCCCGCTAGGGTGGAGGAAGGGGTGGACCCTGGAGTCGAGCCCACCGTTGTGGTGGGTAAGGTAGCAGGGGACCCCATAGGGGAGCCCGCCTGTGGAGTTGGTGTTACGGAGGACTCCGTGGTGGAGCTTGTCCGCATGGGTGGGGGGGAGTTTCCACCGGAGGAACCTACTGAAGAGCCCGCCTGTGGAGTTGGGATGGGGGTGGTGGGGGTGGACCCTTCTGATGAGCCCACCAGAGTAGGGGTTTGGCTTTTGCGCCGTTTTGGTGTTTTTGTTTTATTTGGTTCCATTAGGTTCCCACGAGTAAGGGAGAAAACTTTTATTTTCCGCACGAATCGAACCATTCTCAATAGAATTAGTTAAAATTCCAGTTGCGATACCAGAAGGTACTATAACAATTCCTGAAACTCATATGTCAAAGTGCATTATCCGCGAATGTCTGACTATAGCTCATCTAGGATATGCATCTGTTGATATTCACAATAACACCAGTGGCGTTCGAGAAATTTTTCTTTATGAACCGGTACCAGTAAAACGATCTGACAATAATGACTTCAAACTTAACCATTTGACAATACCAGACACAGATTACGAAACTATACAAAACCACGACATTACGCAACTTATACGAACTGAGCACATGAACCAAGAAGAAAAATATCACATAGAAAAATTATGCCGTTCTTCTTCATATATATTCCACCGCGAAAATTCAAAATTCACCTTCACAAATAAAGTCAAACACAAAATAAGAACAACAGACGAATCACCTATTTATTCGAAATCATACCGCTATCCTTTTATTCATAAACCGGAAGTTGAACGACAAATTGATGAAATGCTCAGACAGGAAATTATCAGACCCAGTGACTCTCCTTGGTCTTTCCCGATCTGGATAGTCCCCAAAATATCTGACGCATCAGGCAAAAAAAAAATGGCGTATAGTTGTCGACTATAGAAAAATTAACGACAAGACAATTGACGACAGATATCCTATCCCAAACATATCCGACATCCTTGACAAATTAGGTAGATGCCAGTATTTCTCGACTTTGGATTTGGCAAGTGGCTTTCATCAGATTGAAATGCATCCTGATGATATCCAAAAAACTGCATTCAATGTTGAGCATGGACATTACGAATACTTGCGCATGCCTTTCGGACTCAAAAATGCCCCGTCCACATTCCAACGAGTCATGGATAACGTCTTGAAAGATTTACAAAATAAAATTTGCTTTGTCTATATGGACGACATAATCGTTTTTTCCACCTCTTCACAGGAACATTTAACAAATTTGAAATAAGTCTTCGAAAAACTACGAGTGAGTAACCTGAAAGTGCAACTTGATAAATCAGAATTTCTGAGGACTGAAGTAGCATTCCTAGGGCACATCATCACTCCCGATGGTATTAAACCCAACCCGGACAAAATCAAATCTATCATCAATTATCCTATTCCAAAAACTACAACAGAATTCAAAGGATTTCTCGGTCTTTTAGGCTATTATAGAAAATTCATTCAAAATTTTGCTAAGATCACGAAACCATTCACTTCATGTTTAGAAAAAAGGAGCCAAAATCAATACCAGTGATCCACTCTATATCAAAACTTTTGAAGATTGTGAATCTCTCCTGACTGATGACCCCATCCTTCAATATCCTGACCTGACAAAAGACTTCATCCTGACAACAGACGCGAGTAATATTGCCGTAGGTGCCATTCTTTCACAGGGCCCTATTGGACAAGACAAACCTATCGCTTACGCATCACGCACATTGAATGATTCAGAACAAAATTACTCGACAATTGAAAAAGAATTGTTTGACCACAAACCTCTTCAATGGCTTATGTCTCTTAAAGAGCCAAACTCTCGTTTGGTCCGTTGGAGATTAAAACTTGAAGAATATGATCACCAGATAATTTACAAAAATGGAAAAATGAACACAAACGCAGATGCCCTCTCTAGAGTAGAAATCTACCCTACTGATAAACAGACTAACGACGAAAATATCACAGAAAACATTCCCATACTACAGTACATGCAACAATATAATGAAAATCCCATTTTAGACGAAAATCCTAGACCTTCCACTAGAAATGAACCTGATAATCAATCAATGATAGGACAAGTAGACCCTGACAAAAACGACGACAATCAGACTGTACATACAAGTGCAGGAAACCCGATTTTGACCATAAATATAACCGACAAACCTTTGGATTATTTTCTTTGTCAGATAATCATGATGAAAGTTGATTAAAATCCACATTTCCAAACTAAGAAAATTTTCGGAAATCCAGTTAGCCGAACAAGATGGTATCTCTATGTGACAAACGAAACACTTCAAGCGCAAGTTGTTGAATTCTCGAAAGACTTTGGTGGCGCAAAACGACAATATGTCTTGTATTTTCAGAACGATGAAAATCAAGAGCTTTATAAAGAAATATGTGTTTTTCTACCCCAAATATTCAAAAATTCAGCTTTCAGAATTTTAAAATCTAACAAACTGTTATTTGACGTTAATAATGAAAATAGACAACAAAATTTGATCAAGTCAACTCATGAAGGCATAACGAATCATAGAGGTATCCACGAAACTATTAATGAACTGAAAATAAAATATTACTGGCCAAAATTGAGTGATGACATCTGGAAATTCGTAAATAATTGTTCTATTTGTCAACAAGTAAAATATGAACGTCATCCCCCACTTATTAAACTTCAACTGACACCAACACCGAAAAAACCTCTCGAAACCATTCATGTAGATAAATCCAAATTTGACATGGCAATAGCTCTCACAATTTGTGATAGTTTTTCCCGATTTGGACAAGCATACATTCAACATAGTCTGTCTGCACTTCATGTCAATCTCTCTTACAATTCACGTCATACAAAATCCCAGAAAATATTATATCCGACAACGGAACAGAATTCACGCAAAGTATCTTGAAAGATTTTTCTAAAGCTCATAAAATTAACTTGCATTTCACCTTACCACTAAATCCAAATAGTAATTCAATCGTAGAAAGATTGCATTCGACAATTCTTGAATATATGCGCACTCTCGCCTTAAGCAAACCCAAACTGAATCCATTCGAAAAAATTACTCATGCAGTTTCAGGATACCATAACTCAATTCATTCGGCTACCAAACAAAAACCAGTTGATCTCTTATTGGAACATTTGAAACTGAAAAATCCAATAGATATCGATAATCAATCAGAAATAATCAATCACACCATCAATGATTATAAAGTAATAATGTCCGACCTATATAGTAAACTTCATGACAAAATGTCAAAGAAAAAAATAAACGTAATTTCCAAATTAAATGAAAAACGCAAAGACCCACCAGATATCGAACCTGGCCGAATTGGTTATAGAAAATTGACTGATAGACAATCCAAAACAAATTCCCTCTACCGACCTGAACACGTGACCAAAAGTAACGACCTGACAGTGACAACATCACAAGATATCTACCACAAACAAGTATTCAAACCTCCAAGAAAAATGACCGACTATTCTCTTTTGCAGGTTGATGACTCTTCACCTGACGAAACCTCAGGAAGTTAAGATACACAGTCTAGAAACTAACCCTGGTATTCTCCCTTTCAAACTCGGAACCGCCAGAATAAAGATCGCTTTCCATACCTTCCTTCACTATATCAAAATTGATTATTTACGTCAACAAATTCAGTCAACAACCGATCAATACCACCAAAAATCTCTGCTATCATCCCTTCACTAGCAATACCAGTCAGACGAACTAGACAAGCCCAGACCCTCCACTGACGGGTTGAGAGACCTGGATTCTGCCTTTCCAGGGCATTGAAGATGTCCTGGTTCGGCGGTCTTATCGGGATCCGGATGACCGTTCTTTGCAGTCTGAATCTATCCGGATCGACCGCTATGAGGTCAATGCCTTCCCAGGGTCGGATATTTGGCAGTTCCCTGAGAAGCCATTTCCTCGTCTCCGCATTCTCTGCGGTGACTAAAAGTTGCCCCCTCCACAGTCGCGTTGATGCGAATTGTATTGGGGGCGAGTTTGCGCTCATTGGCGTGCTGATGATGAATGTCAGCACAGCGTCTAGGAACTCTGCCAGTTGGTCCTCCGTGAAGGTCACGTTGGTTTGGCCTTCCCTGGAGACAACCACCTGCAGAGCTCGGTTTTCAGATGTTATCCGCGCGTAGCTCTTCGGACCAGTCGTGCCCTGCCCCATTTGTGTGAAGCCCGGACGTGGTCGCTTAGTCACGCGCGTGACGTCATCGGGTGTAGATCCTGGAGTCCTGGTCCTCTTGGTAGACTCATGAGTCTTTCCTCTCAGGGCCGGGTCACCAGGATCTTTCGACTTGGCAGCGGGGCACGGGGGAGGAGCTTCGACGTTCCCCTTGGAGGAGCCCTGTACTCCACTCCTGTCCGTTGACCCATTGCCTGATCCACCGACCTTCTTTGTGGAGCCAGTCGAGGTGGATGGTTGGACGGGCGCTGCTGGCGCCGCAGCCCGTCTCGCCATTCTCCTCTCATTTTTGTCCGACCCACGGACGTTAGTTTTAACCTTCACCTTTTTAAGGGTTTGGGCAAGATCTGACACATCTAGTGAACGCGAGCGCCCCACTGATGTGCCTGTACTAAGTGTAGGCGCAAAGCCGGGTTTGGATTAGTCCGAATTCCCCGAAGTGGAGCCCGTCGGAACAGGAGTTGCGGACCCCTCAGAGGAGCCCGCTAGGGTGGAGGAAGGGGTGGACCCTGGAGTCGAGCCCACCGTTGTGGTGGGTAAGGTAGCAGGGGACCCCATGGGGGAGCCCGCCTGTGGAGTTGGTATTACGGAGGACTCCGTGGTGGAGCCCGTCCGCATGGGTGGGGGGGAGTTTCCACCGGAGGACCCTACTGAAGAGCCCGCCTGTGGAGTTGGGATGGGGGTGGTGGGGGTGGACCCTTCTGATGAGCCCACCAGAGTAGGGGTTTGGCTTTTGCGCCGTTTTGGTGTTTTTGTTTTATTTGGTTCCATTAGGTTCCCACGAGTAAGGGAGAAAACTTTTATTTTTCGCACGAATCGAACCATTTTCAATAGAATTAGTTGAAATTCCAGTTGCGATACCAGAAGGTACTATAACAATTCCTGAAACTCATATGTCAAAGTGCATTATCCGCGAATGTCTGACTATAGCTCATCTAGGATATGCATCTGTTGATATTCACAATAACACCAGTGGCGTTCAAGAAATTTTTCTTCATGAACCGGTACCAGTAAAACGATCTGACAAAAATGACTTCAAACTTCACCATTTGACAATACCAGACACAGATTACGAAACTATACAAAACCCCGACATTACGCAACTTATACGAACTGAGCACATGAACCAAGAAGAAAAATATCACATAGAAAAATTATGCCGTTCTCTTTCATATATATTCCACCGCGAAAATTCAAAATTCACCTTCACAAATAAAGTCAAACACAAAATAAGAACAACAGACGAATCACCTATTTATTCGAAATCATACCGCTATCCTTTTATTCATAAACCGGAAGTTGAACGACAAATTGATGAAATGCTCAGACAGGAAATTATCAGACCCAGTGACTCTCCTTGGTCTTTCCCGATCTGGATAGTCCCCAAAAAATCTGACGCATCAGGCAAAAAAAAATGGCGTATAGTTGTCGACTATAGAAAAATTAACGACAAGACAATTGACGACAGATATCCTATCCCAAACATATCCGACATCCTTGACAAATTAGGTAGATGCCAGTATTTCTCGACTTTGGATTTGGCAAGTGGCTTTCATCAGATTGAAATGCATCCTGATGATATCCAAAAAACTGCATTCAATGTTGAGCATGGACATTACGAATACTTGCGCATGCCTTTCGGACTCGAAAATGCCCCGTCCACATTCCAACGAGTCATGGATAACGTCTTGAAAGATTTACAAAATAAAATTTGCTTTGTCTATATGGACGACATAATCGTTTTTTCCACCTCTTTACAGGAACATTCAACAAATTTGAAATTAGTCTTCGAAAAACTACGAGTGAGTAACCTGAAAGTGCAACTTGATAAATCAGAATTTCTGAGGACTGAAGTAGCATTCCTAGGGCACATCATCACTCCCGATGGTATTAAACCCAACCCGGACAAAATCAAATCTATCATCAATTATCCTATTCCAAAAACTACAACAGAATTCAAAGGATTTCTCGGTCTTTTAGGCTATTATAGAAAATTCATTCAAAATTTTGCTAAGATCACGAAACCATTCACTTCATGTTTAGAAAAAAGGAGCCAAAATCAATACCAATGATCCACTCTATATCAAAACTTTCGAAGATTGTAAATCTCTCCTGACTAATGACCCCATCCTCCAATATCCTGACCTGACAAAAAAATGCATCCTGACAACAGACGCGAGTAATATTTCCGTAGGTGCCATTCTTTCACAGGGCCCTATTGGACAAGACAAACCTATCGCTTACGCATCACGCACATTGAATGATTCAGAACAAAATTACTCGACAATTGAAAAAGAATTGTTTGACCACAAACCTCTTCAATGGCTTATGTCTCTTAAAGAGCCAAACTCTCGTTTGGTCCGTTGGTGATTAAAACTTGAAGAATATGATCACCAGATAATTTACAAAAATGGAAAAATGAACACAAACGCAGATGCCCTCTCTAGAGTAGAAATCTACCCTACTGATAAACAGACTAACGACGAAAATATCACAGAAAACATTCCCATACTACAGTACATGCAACAATATAATGAAAATCCCATTTTAGACGAAAATCCTAGACCTTCCACTAGAAATGAACCTGATAATCAATCAATGATAGGACAAGTAGACCCTGACAAAAACGACGACAATCAGACTGTACATACAAGTGCAGAAAACCCGATTTTGACCATAAATATAACCGACAAACCTTTGGATTATTTTCTTTGTCAGATAATCATGATGAAAGTTGATTAAAATCCACATTTCGAAACTAAGAAAATTTTCGGAAATCCAGTTAGCCGAACAAGATGGTATCTCTATGTGACAAACGAAACACTTCAAGCACAAGTTGTTGAATTCTCGAAAGACTTTGGTGGCGCAAAACGACAATATGTCTTGTATTTTCAGAACGATGAAAATCAAGAGCTTTATAAAGAAATATGTGTTTTTCTACCCCAAATATTCAAAAATTCAGCTTTCAGAATTTTAAAATCTAATAAACTTTAATTTGACGTTAATAATGAAAACAGACAACAAAATTTGATCAAGTCAACTCATGAAGGCATTACGAATCATAGAGGTATCCACGAAACTATTAATGAACTGAAAATAAAATATTACTGGCCAAAATTGAGTGATGACATCTGGAAATTCGTAAATAATTGTTCTATTTGTCAACAAGTAAAATATGAACGTCATCCCCCACTTATTAAACTTCAACTGACACCAACACCGAAAAAACCTCTCGAAACCATTCATGTAGATACATCCAAATTTGACAAGGCAATAACTCTCACAATTCGTGATAGTTTTTCCCGATTTGGACAAGCATACATCCAACATAGTCTGTCTGCACTTCATGTCTATCAATCTCTCTTACAATTCACGTCATATAAAATCCCAGAAAATATTATATTCGACAACGGAACAGAATTCACGCAAAGTATCTTGAAAGATTTTTCTAAAGCTCATAAAATTAACTTGCATTTCACCTTACCACTAAATCCAAATAGTAATTCAATCGTAGAAAGATTTCATTCGACAATTCTTTAATATATGCGCACTCTTGCCTTAAGCAAACCCAAACTGAATCCATTCGAAAAAATTACTCATGCAGTTTTAGGATACCATAACTCAATTCATTCGGCTACCAAACAAAAACCAGTTGATCTCTTATTGGGACATTTGAAACTGAAAAATCCAATAGATATCGATAATCAATCAGAAATAATCAATCACACCATCAATGAACATAAAGTAATAATGTCCGACCTATATAGTAAACTTCATGACAAAATGTCAAAGAAAAAAATAAACGTAATTTCCAAATTGAATGAAAAACGCAAACACCCACCAGATATCGAACCTGGCCGAATTGGTTATAGAAAATTGACTGATAGACAATCCAAAACAAATTCCCTCTACCGACCTGAACACGTGACCAAAAGTAACGACCTGACAGTGACAACATCACAAGATATCTACCACAAACAAGTATTCAAACCTCCAAGAAAAAAGACCGACAATTCTCTTTTGCAGGTTGATGACTCTTCACCTGACGAAACCTCAGGAAGTTAAGATACACAGTCTAGAAACTAACCCTGGTATTCTCCCTCTCAAACTCGGAACCGCCAGAATAAAGATCGCTTTCCATACCTTCCTTCACTATATCAAAATTGATTATTTACGTCAACAAATTCAGTCAACAACCGATCAATACCACCAAAAATCTCTGCTATCATCCCTTCACTAGCAATACCAGTCAGACGAACTAGACAAGCCCAGTCAGCACACCCTTTTGTTGTCAACCTCGAAAGATGTCGAACAGCACTATATCAGAACTCCTTCATCCATAGAACGGCTAGGCTCTGGAATTCATTGCCTGTGGAAGTATTCCCAACAACATATAATCTCCAGAAGTTCAATAAAAAATGCAATACCTACCTCTTATTCCTATCCTCCCTAGGAACGCAAGATGTTCTTCGAACATTATAGGGATTCCCTTTCGTGCGCTTCAAGCGATAAAAAAAAAATTTGGGTATGCTAATTAACAATCGTCATCTTATATGAATCTATAATCTACAAAATATTTATAATCGTCTTGGATATGAAGTAAACACAGTGAATAGGAAAATGGTCTCACTATTTTCGAAAGGGAGAAAAAGAAGAGGTCCAGTAAATCCAGCAGGATCACTTCTGAAATTTTTCACTAGAAATCTTGACCAAGAAGACGCAAAAGAAATTTATGGTAGCATTTCGGAACTCGAAAACTATCAGAACAAAATAATCAAGAAAGTGAACAAACATATTTCATTAATAGCTAATCTTATGAATAATATCAAAGACACGATGACTACTTTCAAGAAAAATCAGAATTTAATCGAAAATAAAATTAACCTGTTGACAAAAGCCCTAAATGATCAATCTCTGCTATTCTGCCATTATTTGACAAATCATGATATATTGGACCAAATTAAACTTAATCTTGATTCACTCCTAAATTTCCTTTCAGAAACTGAAAATGCTGTGAGTTTCACATACCTTGAAACTCTACATCATAGTATCGTTTCTCCAAAAGATCTCAAAGAAATGATAAATGAATTATATAAATCGCATACTGAATCGCAAATGCTGTTTCATTTAGACAATTACCTCAAATATTATAGTATAGTAGAAACCAGCGTTTTCATATCTGATGATAAAATGATATCTTCACTTGACTTCCCTTTGGTTCACCCTAACACATTTGAACACTACCACCTTTTCCCAATTTCTAATCGAAACCAATC